CTGCTTCAAGAAGATCACATAGACCAGTGGTTCTCAACCTATGAGTCGTGACCCCATTTGGGGTCGAACGACCATTTTACGGGGGTCGCCAAACAACGCGATCCGCCATGTTCCCCCTCAGGGGGCGGCGCCCGTGCATGCGCGCCACGCATGGGGGGCGGCGCCCGCGCATGCGCGCCACATCCATGTGACCGGGGGGCGCCGTATAAAAAGGTTGAGAACCACTGACATAGACTGACGATAAACAACAGCATGACAAAATAGCAACAATAGTGCACTGGAATATCTGCAACAAACACCATTTGCCTGCAAGCAAGAATGGTGGGGGGCAAAAATAGACAAAATAATAGAAAATGAAAAGGGTAAAGTGCTCTGGGACTTTAGGATTCAAACAAACAAAGACCTGCCATAAAATTTTTAGAGGATGAATATGGAAGTACCTGAAGACAGCACAATAGAAGAAAAGGAACTGGAGAAAATCACAAAATACAGAGACCTGCAAATAAAAATAGTATGACTGTGAGAAAAGAAAACTTTTGATAGTAAAAAAAACTAAGTAAAGATAATATCAATAATAATAAGCACCTTGGATACAATCCCATAATATCTACAGCACCTTTGAAACACCACCAGCATTAACAAAATCCCTATCAGTCAATTGCTAAATTTCTTGGAACAGCTTACATCCTGCAACAATCTCTTTAACACCATCAACCAACACCCTCTGCCTATACCAAGTTCTTGGGAAGGACTCAATAGGTGAATAAAAATGATAAATCCAGTCTAAACATCTGGCTGATTGTGCAATGAAGCATAATAATTATAAGTAGATCATACACTTAGAGTAGCTCTGCAAGAAGATCACACAAACTATGATTATAAACAAAAATAACAGTCACCAAATGGAACACCTGTAAAAATTACCACGTGCACTTGTCAAATCTACCTTCAAATCCAAAGAAGAGTTGGAATCAGAAGGAGGTATCTGTCAGTGGTTTACATATTTACAATTGAAAGAAAGGTTTAAAGAAGATAAGAAAGTTATTGATTTGACTTTGAAAAAATGAATTGGAAATTGTACTGTAGTAATGATCAACATATAAATGCCAAGATTTATAAACTACTATTGAGATCGAATTTGGAGAAAGAATATGTGAAGCATTGCATGGGCAAAGAATTTTAGGTATAATATAATGCTTGAACAATGGGAAAATATGTAGACAAAGGTTTAAAATTTACATGAAATTATATCTTAACATGTTTATAAAATGATATACCATGGATATTTAACACCAGATAGACTGTCAAAAATGTATAAAGATATTTCAAATGTATGTTGAAAATGTAAATGTAAATAAAGAACTTTTTATCATCTTTGGTGGACCTGAGATAAAGCAAAAAAAAAATAAAATACTGAGCTATGACTCATATTTTAATACATAAGACTTTTAAAGTTAATATAAAAATAAAATCAGAGACTTTTCTTTCAGAGTTAACGGACAAAGTTGAAAAAAATGGAAATTTGTTATATTTGTTGACAAGCAGCAATAATTATTTATGCACAGGAATGGAAAAATAGTTTAATTCGCACCATGGATACTTGTGTGAAAAAAAATGATGCAACTAGCAGAGAGGACTAAATTGGCTGCCTTAATCAAAGAAAAGAACACATTCAGTTTCATTTCTGCTTGGAAACCACTTCTGGATTTTGTGCTTGAGATGGGGGGAAAAAAATGGAATGTTGACTTTGGGTTTTCCTGATTAGATAGAAACCTCTGAGCAATGAGTTGTATTTCCAAGCTGAATTTTTATAAACATTTAAATTGCTTCTGGAAGAAGAGGTGATTGAAGCTATATTGTTTTCTCTATTTTTTAACATTTCTTTTTAAATATGAGCAAAAGTATAACAAAGAAAACCTTTTAAAAAAAAACAGAAGTTGAACAGACGGGTAAAACAGCATAACATTCTACTACATCTTCATAAGAACCTTAGCAATAGGGAAGTTTGCTTCCCGAAGCTCTGCCTCTTTATGCAACATTTAGTACCTATATTTCCCAAAATAATTTTGTTGATCCCCATGGGTACACATAGCTAGCTTGATCTCTCCCTCCAGTCCCAAGAGAAAATCTTCTCCCAAACTGCCTGCTTTTTACCAATTCAGATTTTGAACATGTAATAATGAGGTCTAATTAGCGGGAAAGAGTCCTGATAAAAATAGCTCAGTTAAAGTAGGAATCACAGGAGAGAATGTAAGAAGGAGAATAAAAGTGCAGTGGAGGTGAGGTTGAGATGTGATGGTTCAACTTCCTGCTCAAATGAAGGAGTTCTCACAAATCTTTGTTTGTCTCTGCAGTTAATAATTTCACAATTTATGAATGTGTACATATTGGCCCAGATGGGCAGGGCCCATTCTTAATCAGGCTCTCTGTTTCAGTAGTTACTGTATTTGACTACTGATCCATGGTAGCAACCACTGAGGTACTGGTGTTGATTAGAATGTTATACATTCGTATAAAACAGCTTAATTAAGAATATGGGACTATTGAGTTCTAATTCATAGGCCGTATCAGCCTTGTTGCCCATGCAATCATCAGATGGGGAGGCTGGGCAGCCAGTATAGTTAAGACATTGAGCTGGCAGCTTTGGAAATGCATGCATGAATTTAAACTAGATTGGTTAACTTAAGAACTTAACTATTTAAGGGAATATCCTTTATTTCAGATATTGTGAAAGAAGTGTATTAGTATATCATTACAGTAGTATAACAGAAACTACCATTAAATATTTCAGATCCAGCTGTAGTTTACAAGCATGTCTGTACATGTAACTGCCAGATTATACACACCAGATTGTTTTTTGTATTTTAATAATGAAAATATATTTCAAGAATTCATTCATAATATTTGTTATAAATGTTTTGTTCAGACCTACACACATATGGAAACAAACACCGGGCTCAAATCAAATGTTCTTCAGTAGAAACGCAGTGCTTTTCCAGTATCTTTGGTGCTATGAGGAAGAGATTATGTATAAAGCTCTTATGGCACTGACCTTAAAAGCAGTTAAATGTTATGTGATGAAAGAGATAATCCCTCGCCATATGGAACAGCTTCACCCCTGAGATAAGGGAAGCCCCAACTCTCTTAGATTTCCAGAAGACTGGGAAGGCCTGGTGCTTCCCCCCCCCCCCGTCAGGCATGGAGCCAGGATGTCTATTGAGCCCAGTATAGGTGAGATGTTATGATGCCTCACTTTACATATTATTATTGCATTTTGTGGGATTTAAATAAATATATACATTATTATGATTATATGTATATATAATAATGAGAGCCAGTTTGGTATTATGGTTAAGGCATCAGGCTAGAAACTGGGAAGTTTAATCCCATCTTAGGCACAAAGCTGGCTGGGTGACCTTGGGCCAGTCACTTTCTCTCCTGTCTCCCAGTTTCTAGCCTGACGCCTTAACCAAAATACCAAGCTAGCTCTCACTTTTACAGTTAAAAATCATTTAACAATAGGCTGGCAGATGATTTCAGTGCAAATCCTTTGAGGTCACTGAGTTTGTTGGCAGTGCCAGGGTGTAGACGAAGTATTGAAAGGCAGGCTCACGTGGATTAAAGGTATTTCATATAAATCTCTATTCAATGCAGTGTTACTCCTACGATAATAATATTATATGGTTAAACAACACTCTCCTGATTGTATTTGGAGGGTCACTTGCAATAATTTTACATTTTCTTTTGGAGTATAACTGGACTTTGAACCTCATTATGTCACATTCAGAGAATAGAGCTTTATTACATCAAAATTTCCTTTACAAATCTGAACTAAAAAAAAAATAGCTGACCATTTGATGGCAACAGAGAATAAACAGGTATCTGTTTGTTGCCATCGAGAGTTCATCCAGATCTGCAACTTGGATCTGTTACCACTATTTGAGAGGCCCCACTTCCTCCTCAGAGTCTTTCTGCTCCTGAAAAATAGAGGACATTTGAGAATGATAAGATAATCTGCAGATAGAGCAGAAGTTATCAGATGCCACCATTTCCTCAGAGAAACATAAGACTGATGTAGAATCCAAACCCATATACAATGTCAAGAAATAAAAGAGTACAGTAGTCATTGAAATAAATTTCAACTATTATAATCAACTATTTTATATAGTGTCTGAGGACTTCAATAAATGCTGGCAATTTAGTGTCAATTCAAACTTTAACCCAAAGTTTAAGAATACAGATAGTCCTCTACTTACAATCACAATTGAGCCCATGTTTTCTGTAGTGAAGCGAGTCATTTTTTAAAAGAGTTTTGCCCCATGTTATAACCTTTCCCGCCACAGTTGTTAAGTGAATCACTGCAGTTATTAAGCTAATAACATGGTTGTTAAGTGAATCTGACTTCCCCATTGACTTGGCTTGTCAGAAGGTCGAAAAAGATGAACACATGACCCCAGGACACTTCAACCATCATAAATATGAGTCAGTTGCCAAGGGTCTGAATTTTGATCACATGACTATAAGGATGCTGCAACAGTCATAAGTGTGAAAAACTGTCATAAGTCACTTTTTTCAGTGCTGTTGTAACTTTGAACGGTCACTAAACGAACTGTAGTAAATCAAGGGCTATCTGTACTCCAAATACTGCTATAATTTACACGTGATTCTAAGCCAAACTACTTCGGGTAAATCAAATGTTACAAAGTCAAATAATTTTGTCAAGTATTTTAACAATTTCACAGTTATAACATCTTGTGCTCCAAATATTGTTACCATTATCTGTTGTACAAACATTATTTTTTTTCTGACTTACTGCCAAATTTAGATTGCTAGGTAATTTCTGGGACACCTTGATAGTGTTTATCAGTTGATTACAATACTAAAGATTTGTGATAAAGCAGTTAAGTTTCAGATTCAGTGGTTTATAATCCTCCAAGATTTTTGTCAGTTTTAATGTATATTTTATGGTGTTTCTTTTTTTCTCTCTCTTTTTTTTCCAGTTCAGCTGAAGAACAATTTCACTGGCAAACACAAGGTAAAGTTTATTTTTTCTGACTTCTGTGCTGAATCTTGTTGCTAAGAGGCTCTTTTTCCATTACTTATTCTCTGATTGTGTTTTTTCATGGGGATACAATATCTTTGAACAGAAAAAGTTCAAAAAGTATTTTCAGTAGTGCTTAAATGTTGGTGAACCCTTTTGAATTTTTAATACATATGCATTAATATGAATTAAAACATGATCTGATATCTATACAAGCCCTAAAACTAAATAAAGAAAACCCACATGTTTATTTAACTCATTTGTTTAATTGACTTTTCTTTGTGTAGTTTTAGGATTTATATAGAGAATAGACAACATTTTAGATCTTATTTATTCAGACATACTGAAAATTCAAAAGGGTTCCTAAGCTTTTAAGCGCCATTGTATGTTAAGAATGACCTCTAGGTTCTGGTTTTTGTAGTGAACAACTTACCTATTCCTGTATGTGAACAGAATGCAAATCAATTATAACTGAAATAAATTGAAGAGCAAAATCTATTTATTGCACAACATCAATATGTTAGAGTGGGCAATCTGTAAACTAGCTTCATTTTTGTAGCAAAGATCACACTACTGAAATGCGATGGTGAACTGTTGATTTACAGCAGCAGTTTCAGTTGGTTTAAAAAAAATAGTAACAATATAGATTTGCTGTAACTTGCCGATAAGGTTAATGCAGATGTTTTTCAAATTCAAATACTTAATTAAAACATACAAGGAAAGTGGAATGAAAATTGTGCTCTTGAGCCCTCCAGTGACATTACTCAGTTATCAACATGTTTCCTAGTGAGGAAAAGAAAATTTTAATTCCAGTCCACTGAAATGATCCATCTTTAGTATTCTTAAATTACTATTAGCAGTTCAAGCAGTTATGGAAATGGTACTGAAGATATCTGATTGTTTAATAAATTTGGTTTTTTAAAGGTTCTTATCTTCAGTTTTCCAAATTTTTCTTTATGTCTTTCCAGATATTTGAAATATTTAAAATAGCATTTTGTTACAGATGGTCAAAAGGATATAGAAGATGAGCTTACAACTGGTCTTGAACTTGTGGACTCTTGTATTAGATCTCTACAAGAATCAGGAATACTTGATCCACAGGATTATTCAACTAGTGAAAGTAAGTTTCCCAAGAACTGTTGTTGTAGCCTACCCACAATTAAAACTGTTCAGTCTGTTCAGAAAAACATGATGCTTTTAAAATAAAAGGCCTTGGGGCTATTAAAGATCTTTTTTATATAATCTTGAATATTTAAAAGCTAGTGGTATTCGCTGAGCAATTGCTCATGTATATATGTACAATAATCACCACTCTGTTTTAGAGCTTTTTTATAAAGCACACAAAAAGCAGCATGGGATTTTTTTATGTACAGATAGTTTACAAGAGGAATGTGTAGAAAAAGAAAAGGCACCAAGGGTTTAGAAAAGTTATTTATTTTGGTAAATCAAGATGATTAGTCCAAAGATGCGTTTTCAAGAGAGAACTGAACTTTCTTGTTTTTCTTTGAAGACATTTCGCCTCTCACCCAAGAAGCTTCTTTAGCTAATCAAGATGATTAACTTTTCTACTCTATCAAAACATTGAATTAAGTTTTCAAAAGATTTTATTCCACATGGGTAATATGTGATCATCAAAGAGTTGGTTCCTTATTAAAGCATTAATTTATAATAAGAATTCATAAATAACCATTGTTTATTGCTTTTGAACTTCACTAATACCAGTTATAGTATATCTGGTAGTTCATTGCAATTGCCATGAGTTTACAACTGCAGTAGGGAGAATCTGAACATATGTTCCTTATCCTTCCTTCCTTCCTTCCTTCCTTCCTTCCTTCCTTCCTTCCTTCCTTCCCTTCCTAATACTTCTTTTTGATTGGAAAACAGAGCCTAAATATATAACTCCGATACAACTTTTTTTTTGTTAAGACCATTTCCCCCCGATTTTTCTGTTTTAACTATTATCTATTATTTTTCCTGCTGCCTGATTAGCAGAGTTTACAGAAAGATTAGCCAACCATATTTTATCATAGTGGGATCAATGTGATTTGTCTGTTGTTCAATGTGTCATGAAATCCAGAAAATTAACTGAGTAAATTATGGTCAAAATAATCATGCTAAGTGTGGCTTGCAAATGGAGCTACATAGGAGAAGGACAGAGGCTACTAATCAGACTTGGTATCCAAGTATAAACAGAAAAGAAGAGATGTTTGTTGAGATTTTGCTTTCCTCTACTCTATCTTCTCTTTTTAAATTTTATACATGTGTATTGTTTTGAATATATCGGTATTCTTTAAAAGTATAAAAGTAAGATGCTGCTGCTGAAGATAATATCCGGGTCTCTGAATCAGATATGAGCAGAAAACTGACCATATGACAATATACTCTGTTCTCTAATCTTTCTCCAATACATGCACAAGTTCCTAATAAAAGTTGGAGAGCAAGCAGCAATGTAACATTTCCCTGCGCTCCCTAATGCAATAAAGTGAGGCTGCACTTTACTGCTAACTACCTGACTTAATAGACTTATGTTCAGTTTTGCTTATGTTTTACATGTTGGACTATAGTTATTTAAAGCTTAGCAGGCCTGACCAATTAGCAGAGATGATGGGAACCAGTACAGTAATCAACATTGCTAGCTCTACAGAGCTAGCAAGCAGAGTAAAGCATAAATGCTTTCTAAGCAAGTTTCCGCAGACTGAGTGAGTTATCAACCACAATGCTCAGACTTTTCTTTTTTCTTTGACCTCTAGATATATACATGCGTATGTGTGCTTATACATATCTTTCTAAGTTTTAGCAGCCCAGCTTTATTAGTTTCATAGAAAATAAAAGATTTCAAAGGAGGCATGTAATATCATCTTACAATCTGAAGGGTTATTTATTTAGCAAGGCATTCTTTTTCACAAGAGAAGGAGAATTTAGGAATTGTTACAGGTATCAAAATTTTCATTTGACAATATTCAAAATGTAGCTGAACAAGAAACAAGTGGTCCAGAAGAATCTTTTTTTAATACTGTTGACTGTGTTTCAATAAATATGCTTCATTTATGTATTACTGTGGTCCTCTAAATTTCTTAAGTTATATTATATAGATGTTTTACTTATATGAATTCGTTAATTATGACTGGAATTTTTATCAGGTGTTAGAATCTTTATTCAGTTGAAATGCTACTCCACTGAATTTCCAGGTGGAAAAAAATGGTGAACTTGTATGTAACCAAACAGCAGATATGATGCTGAAGTGAAGATTGCTGACCAAGTGGTGACCCTATTTCATTAGAGCTTCTCTGGATAAGGAGAGGCCAAGAGATCACCAACATAGGCTCTTTGTGAGTAAACCCGCAGGATCCAGAGGAAACCTGCCAGTGACTCACAGGTAAGAGCATCTGGAGACTTAAGAATCATCAAGTTCACAGCTTCAAGTGGAGCTTGCTAAAGGACATTAGGTTCATCCAAACTCTGTTTTCTAAAACACATTTTCATTACAATCAATAATCCAAAGAAAATTTTGCCTGGGGTGTGACTAAAGTGAAATGCAAAGAAACAACTATAAGGATTTTAAAATAATTGAAAGCAAAAAGCTTACCAAGATTTTGAACTATGAAAATGTAAAACAATCAAATTTGGAAAATTGATTATTTTAAAGTTCTTTTGAATTAAATAACTTTGAAAAATGTTTAACAAATTTTGGGAAAAATAGAAATTTTGGAAACTGAGATAGAAACAATAAGCCAAGAAATGGAAAAAGAACTCCCTGGAGTTGTTGGTTTTAATAATTTTGGGAGAATAAGATGAAGAAGATATGGGTTCAGAAATGGATAAATACTGTACACTTTGTCAGGAAGAAGATAAGAGGCCAGGTGTGAGAGAAAAGAACACATCTCACTGACTGATAAACTCAAACAGAAAAAAACACCATTGCAATGGGACAAATTGGAAAGAGTGATTAGAACTACTATCTGTTGGGATGACTAGGGATACAACAAGAAGTACTTGTTTTAAAGAAGAAGACTGGAACTCTTTATGGACTTTTTGTTGAAATTGGATAAAAAGTGACTGTCAAGTTCCATCTGAGAAGTCCAATGAAGCAAAACATCAGAGACATTGCAATCTCTAATGTAAACTTTATTAGGCATTAGCAAACCAGTACGATAGAAGGAAAGCTAGCTTTGAGAATATGGCAGGAAGCAGATAATTAAAAGAGTAAAACTTTCTCTCCCCTCTTTGACAGTTCATGTCACATTGTTCAATTAATCTTCCAGCAATTGTTATGAGAAGAAACTTCAATTCGCCAAAATGGCTCTTTGGCAGCTTCGGCTCTCATGCTGATAGGGAGCACCTGTGGATCCCAAACTCTCCCCTGCCCCCCCCCCCGTAACTGTAGACAAGCTAGAAGTACTACAGCGATTCTAAAAACAGTAAATTTCGTAGCTTGACAGTGACTTGGTAATTTCTGGATTTGCTTATTAAAAATGATTGAATATGGGAAGAAGGTCTCAAAGAACATGAAGTATGTTTCTTACGATCTTAAAATGAGACTAATTCAACAAAATATTTGAATATTCACTTAGATCAGTGAAGATCCAATAAAATTTCAGTAATTTTAATGGTTGGCTATATAAATTAGTAGGATGGAAGTATTGGAAGTATAAGCTGGTGAGGTGACAATCATATGATATGGACTTTTACTATTTCTCCATTTGCATTTGCTGTGCAATGTTAGTTAATATGGTGCTATAGAGCTACATACAGTTTCAAAATATTGTTTCAGTGGAAGCTTGGAATCAACTTCCACTGGAGGTAGTGGGTCAGTCATCAATGACTGAGTTTAAACATGTTTGGGATAAGCATGTTTATCAACTAACAAAATAAACAAAACTATTTTATGTTGTTCAGAATAGCTTCATAACTAATTTGACTATATCTAGCTTAGATAAATGGCGATTAGTTATGATGACTTTGCATCAGCAATATGTCTCCTAATTTCATCACCATATTGCAGTGGTGGCGAACCTATGGCACGGGTGCCAGAGGCGGCACTCGGAGCCCTCTCTGTGGGCACACATGCCGTTGCCCAGCCTTGCCTCCTCCCGCAACCCCCTCTCCAGCAGACCCCTTGGAGGAGACTCGCCCCTGGGCGTGGCCCACGCGGAGCAGCGCAGCCAAGGACATGGCAGCCAGGCAGCATAGACAAGACTCTGCCCTCACACCCCATCGTGCACAGATGATGCTGCAGGGCACAGGCAGAGGCCATGACCGCCGTAGTGCTGCTGGGCTGCCTGGGCGATCTGTGAGTGGCCCTGAGGGCAAGCGGGGTGGGGGATGGGGGCAGGGCAGGGGGTGGAGAAGGGGCGGGGCCACTTTAGGGCACTCGGTCTCTAAAAGGTTTGCCATCACTGCCATATTGCATCACCAATATGTCTCTTAATTTCAGTTAAGAAGAGGACATACTATTAAAACATATAATCCAACAGAGCCCATTGTCATGTGTGTATTTGAGTGTATGTACATATAATGTATTTGTGTGATTGCATTTACTTAAGTAATTTGTTGAAACTGAGAAAACCTATAGATAAATACAGCTTTATGTAACAACTGCGTAAATATGGAGAACTGTTCCATTAAATTGTAGGATACAAGAAACAGTTTTTGTGGGCCATCTCTTTCAAACTGTAACTTTAAAATAAACACTGGGAATATGCATTTCTCTGCAGTTGCAGTTATAAACATCAAATGTGCCAGGTGTGTGTAATAATATGAGAATCTCCATTTATGCGATATGAAACATCATTAAGCTATTTTCACTTTGTTAACAGTCTGCTTTCTGCAATTCCCCAATGAAAAATACCAACTTTTTTGTAGAATCTACAACATAACTAGGCATTTGCTTATGAAAATATTAGGTTCTTGATTTTTCAGACCTGTTTCTTCTACTTGTCACTTCCTCTTAAAACATAATTAAAGTACATGACAAAGGACCTAAAGCTACTTTATTAGATGCATAAAAAGCCAATTCAATCAAATTCTCCATTTTGAAAAAAACATCTACCTATCAGATGGTTGAACAAATAAAATAAGATTAAATCTGGCATCCTAAACTAGCAGTTTGTTAATCAGTGA